CCCCAAAACCCCAAAACCCCAAAACCCCAAAACCCCAAATGCGGAATTAAATATTGAATCAATTAATATTGTTCTTCTAAAATAAATTATCAGCTTAGGCTTACCAATGATAATGGGCAATCCCCTTGAAAATGGAAGGAACCACAAGAGAAAGCATTGATTTCCAAAAATATCCTGAAGGTTTCTCCAAAATGATCTTTTATTATCAAAATCATTTCCTTTCATCCTGTCTATTTTGGTAGTATCCCCTATACATCAAAATTTCATTGAGATTTTGTAAACAAGACAACATTTTCACTAAATTTACCTGTGATGTCCTCTCAAAGAGAGAATGTATTTCATCAGCCAAAAATTAGGAAGAAGCCTGATATGCATAGGACATAGATATTTAGCACCATCAGCACCCCATTGTTTCGTGATCAGCTATTCTTCATACATATCACCATCTGCGTAACTGTTGTTGCGAAGACATATAGACATCAAATAGTTGTATAAATAATTAGCAACATGAACACCTTATAGTTATTCTGACCGATACAGTTGCCAACCCAAGGACAGTGGTGATCCATCCTGGCGATACACTTCTTACAAGTGCTACAATGATGTGTCCGAGGTGGCTTCTTAGATCATCAAATGTTGCATTTGTTTATAAAAACATCTTTGATCTGCAAGTATTCTTCATAAGTCATATCATACCTATCAGGATCAAAAGGTTCTAAAGTATCCTGATTATTAATATCTCTCGATTCCTCATCTGGAATAATACGGTCTTTGATCCTTAGATACAAAGCTTTGCTCTCTTCCTTAAGCCTATCTTCATTGAGGTGATTTTGGTTCTTAGGTAGCTCTCCTGGATCACAGAACTTACAGGCGAGATGGGACCAGACCATAAAAGCCCCTAGGATCTGGAGGGTGCCAAAAATGACAAATGCTCTTATTTCTCGGTCTTCAAATATTTCATCATAAAAACTACCAAAAAGGAAGGAGATGTCTACTGTAAATATAAGCACTTGTGTCACAATCCAGAACATATTGGCTTCAATTAAATATAAGAAAATGGGGTTTCAGGGTTTTTGACTTTTGGGGTGCTTCACTGAGATATTCTTGCAGTGAGCATTGGCTAGAGGGGTCAGAACTGTCCTACCTGCTCTTACTATCTTCAAAAGAGTACTCCTGTATTCTGTAGTTCAGGTCATTGGTGTTCTTGATCCTTGGATTTTTCTAAAGCTTGATTTAGGTATACCTTTGCTTGACTATAGGTTTTCAACAATTCTTACTCCATTTGAACATAGTTATATTTAAACTGATCAGGAAGTTTGATAGCTTGACTATCACCAACCAATGGCTTCCACATGACATTATTATTTATCAGCAAGTTTAGCAATAGATCTTGTGTTAAAGTTAATGTCCTTGCGGAATGGTAGCTTCTTAACGGATCTCTTAGAGAATCGCCTAGCATTGAAAAGCCCTGAATTTCTATTGTTCTTACTTTTGTTTCCTATTATGACTGATTATTCACAAATCTTCCTAATTATTAGAGCAATTCTCTTGTTAGAAAAAAGGAAATTTGGATTAATGCCAAAAGCTCTAAGCCTTTAGTAGTAAAGAAGCTACAACTTCTTACTGAATGAACATAACTGATCGCTATTCATCCTGGCTCTTGATTTGAAATCCACAGGGTAATTCATTGGTAAGAAGTAAAACTCATTCTCCCTTTTGGGGTCTTGAGCAAGTTTGAAGGTAAACTGTATCTTTGGGTTTTCATAAGACTGATAAGCCTCCTCATATCTCTGAATTTTCTTCTTCTGGTAACTCTTTGTTTGAGAGGAATAATTCTGACCAGCTGTGCCACTTATCTAATCATCAGTCAATATTATTACCATGGAGAGGTTGTTTACTTTAATGCTAATTATTGGCATCGTAACTATTTCTAATGGATATATCAATCATCTCCTTCATAAGGCTGTCCTTATATATTTTATGAGGATTCAAAATTCTTTTATCTCTCTTTTTCTATGAAGTTATCCAGGCCCAAACCTTCACCTCAGTGCTGTGATTAACTTTTTCAAGATCCTCTGAGTCTTGTGGGATGATATGTGAATGCTTTGGCAACGTAACATCAATATTTTTCACAAAATTCTGAAGGATAAGTATAAAAACCCTTACTCTCGATGCTTTTTGAGCCTGTGATATGCTTTCAGAAATTTCAGTCTTGTTCCTCTTGTGCTGAATGTGTTTCAGCGAGCCAGAGCTACAATGGTTACATAAGACTTACCTCTTCTTCTGTATTAGCATCGGTCTTAGCTGGTCAAGATTGACCATATCTAAATCTGATTTTGGAGCAAATACTATCATGATAATTACTGATATCAGTCGATCCGATTTTTGAGCCTGCTTTATGCAGGCTCAATGAGCTCCTTCGGATGTAATTTTTCCTATTTTTCTAAACATTTTACATCAAAATACTGCATAATTGTTTCGATGAGTGTCAAATGAGGTATACAGTCCGTTACTGTCATCAATTTTCTGTGCCATATTTCATAAGAATCAGCCAAACCTTACCGTTAATGGATTTTGTCAGCTTTGTCCAAGGAGTTTCAGAAATCCCACTTCTAGGATTTGGTAGCTGATTAGTCCTAGATATTAAGACTCAGAGATACCGATGATTACGAGAAGTTCTCTTCGTGATATTACTATCTTTGTAGCTAAACATTTGAGATCTCTCTGGGTTTCACCCCAGATAGTTCCTAAATATTATCCTCAAAAAGTACTTGATCACGTTAGAGTCCATCTGGAGGCCATAATCCTTCTCTTGAGGAGGCATTGCTTTCTCTGATGTTTTCGTGACATCAAGTACCCTAATATCGAAAAATGATATCAAAAATTTAGAACTGTCTTCGTTTTCAATCACCAAAATAACATTATTCCAACTAAAAATACCTAATTCTGGTCATATTTTCCAGCATGCCCTCTGTGGTCTTCTTTTGAAACGATTGAGCTCTTTCCTACATAAAATATGAGCGATGCACCCTCATGAAGAGGAATATGGTCTGTTAGCATAAGGTAGCTTACCATTTTATTTCAAGATTCAATATTTATTTATATTAATGGGGTTTTGGGGTTTTGGGGTTTTGGGGTTTTGGGGTTTTGGGG